TTTGAATTTGAATTGTGAACATAATTTAAATTTATCCTTTTTGAACTTATTTGATAAGTTGTTCAATTTAGAATTCAAATTAATTTAAGTTTGGCTTAAATTCAAATTTGAATTTGAATTAAAATTGGACTACAGGATAAAGGATAAAGTTTCTTCCTTCCCTATCTGATTTGGCGCCACACACACAGGGTTAAAAAACCCTAAGTGTGGCCGGCCACCTAATGGATAAAAGGAAGGGATTTTATGTTCCAAATTCAAAATTAGAGATATGAATTGATTATGTTTTGAAGTTTGACTTCTACTCTTTAAATATGAGAATGATAGAAAATTGTAGACACAATTTTTGAAACATTTTTTAGCCCTAAAATCAGTGGTGGCCGAATTTCTCAAGGAAAAAAAGAGAGCAAATATTTTTCCCCAAAAATTTCACATCGTGCATGTGTTGGTGTTTGTGGAAATTCGAGTGTTTAAGAAATCTGTTTTGTCTCACGTGTGCCCACACACACGTCTACGTGGAATCAAGGAATTGACGTGGAAGACTTTGGTTTTCTAAACACAAAGCTTGGAGCAAGGACTGTTCGTGGACAAAGAACTCAAGTTATCATCCGAGTCGGCTTCCAGGTATTTTTTTCTGGATTGAGTTCTTGATGTAAATTAATGCGATTAATTTATTCATGCATAAATTAATATAATCTATAGAGTATCTCAAAAGTTTTTCAGAAATTTTTGTTATACACGATCCGCCTCTCCCCACGCTTCCGCACCCGAATTCGATTCTGGAACCAATAATTCGTTCCATCTTCTGCGTAGTTGAATTCTCGATATTGGTTCATTCCACCTTTCGACACGTCTAACGTGGGAGTTTAAGTTGATGGAGAACGACGACGTGAAACCAAGCGATCTTGATCATTAAAGTTTCCTCCCTCCTTGTTTTGCTTTTCTCGATTTGATCAATGCGCAAGTTGAGTCTCGCCATTTAGATTTGTATTCTAGCTACTCGTCTCAATTTGATGATGCATTCTTTTATCTCCTGAGGGTGTTTTGCTCAAAAGTGTATTTCATGGATTCTTTAAGTTGATGAGATATTGTTCTTCTTTCGGACAATGATGATGGTGGCGATGGGACCCCATCGAGAGATTGTCAGTTATCTCTGATATTAAATTATGTTCAGTTTTTTTTTAGGAAGCGTGGTAGGTCATAACCCACAGGTTCCAGGATTCCAAGTTCGAGTTCTTTTCTTAATCTGTTTTGACTAGGAGTTGGTCTTTTCATCATTATTAGCGTATCGAATCGTGCTATCTTTCTATCATAGTCATATGTCACTCAGGAATCAAAATTCTTCCTTGTCTCAAGTGTTAGTCTCGGTGATTCCCTCGTTAACTTGAACCATATCATTCTAAGACATTGAGTATGGATATTAATCATATACCATTCTCTGCCATTTCACTTTTGGATTTCAAATTTTGAGCTCTATTCTTAATCTATTTTGATCTGGAGTTGGACTTTCTGCTTGATAACCATATTTTGATTCATATTATTCTTCTATCACGATTCAATGTTATTCTAAGATCAAGACTACTCCTTGTTTCGAATGTTAGTCTCGGTAAATTCTTTCCTAATACGAAAACATGTCATATCATTCATTTTCTTTTTGTGTACGGTCATCATTAGTGCGAGACTTGTAGGCAATCTTGGCTTCGAAAGTCCTCATTTAGTTACCGGAGTTTAGAGATTCAATCGTTATTTGATTTCATATATATTCGATGTTAAATTCCTATTGGTTCTTCTTTTAGAGTCAAATTTGACTATGAGAATTTCTTTGACTTTCTAGATTCTAAGTCGATGATTGATATTCTTGTGTTCGACCATCCCCAGAATTGGGTGTCTCTATTCCAGTGGTTGAAAGTCTATGATTGTTGATTGGCTTCTAGCTAGAATTGATTATACACTGGATCTGAGATTCTTGGATGACAAAGCGTTTCCGTGCCT